CTAATTAGGCGTGCACCCAAAAAATTGGAAGATTTGAACCAAAAATGAAGGCAGGGCCCCCCCCCCCTACATCAAATGTGCCAACTCCACCATCCCCTTTGAAAAGATTTAAAAACCTAAAGAAACATTTTTGTATAACAATTGAAAAGTATTTGTCTTAGAAATCTAAATTTATATTATTATAAGACGCTTGTTTTTTCCCCAACTTGTTTTTATTTGACCAATTATAAACGTTCCTAAATGCCAAAATCTTTCATATCACACCTGTAAGGATTACATTGCCTTATACCAGAAACAGGGCATGTAATACCTATATTTTTCTGTTAAATAATATCTAGCAAGTAAAAACATACCTTAATAAACATTTATTAAACGATCGGACTAAGACTGTGAACAATGGCGCGAACAGAAAATTTCTCATAATAATAATAATACTTTTTGTTTCTTAGGGATAATTCAGCAATGCGGAAACATTTGCACACGCATGGTCCACGTGTGCACGTCTGTGCCGAATGTGGGAAAGCTTTTGTAGAAAGCAGTAAATTAAAAAGGCATCAACTGGTTCATACTGGAGAGAAACCTTTTCAGGTTAGGAAGTTTGGCTAGGGTTTATATATTCTTTAAAAAAATGACTCCCCCAATGGAGGTTAATCTAATGAGAATATGAAGCATTAAAAACGATCAAAAGTCTAATTAAGCTTTATTCAAAATAAGTTTTTGGACCACCCCTATTTCTAGAAATTGTCACTAATATACCTGCCTTTTTTTTACTAAAAAATTCGTGGAATTTTCTTTTTTGTTTGTGGAGACCCAAACTTTGAATAAATTGAAAGCGTATGGAGCTACATTTTTTATAAAACTTGACCGGCCATATGTCTGCTCAAAGCTTTGGTTATGTGAGGTCCGTTTTTTGCTCGATTGATATCCCCTCAACTAGAAAGAGATGATAATAAGGACATTTTTGTTTATTCGTGGTTTCTGGTATTTTAAAAGTATTTGACACGCTTTATTCTCATTTTGGTTCCGTCCTAGAGAATGATTTTTGGACCCCCCCCCCCG